TTGATTTTGACTCATAGTGACCCTGTAGGGCAGGATAGAACCACCCCATAGAGTTGTCAAGGTTGTAAATCTGTATGGAAGAGACTGCCTCAACTTTCTCCTACGGAGCAGCTGGTGGGTTCAAACTGCTGACTTTTTGGTTAGCAGCTGAATGTTTTAACAGCTGTACCATTGGAGTTCCTAGTTACATACCTAAGTAGGTCCCTTAGTGTGTGCTGTGAACTAGGAAAACAGATGTTTATAATCTGGGAGATAGGGAGACATCACAGGTGTATCAAATAAGAATCTCAGCCCCAGAACTCAGAAGCAGCACCACATTTGTTTACTAAAAAACAACTTGATACGGACTCTGAGATCCTTTGGCAGAAAATTTGCCCTCACTCATCTTTGGGACTCCCCTCCCTCATGTTATTTATTCAAAGGTTTGGGGTGAGAAGGCCTAGATTTTGTCTACACTGGTTCTAGTATTGTCTTTCATTGCTGTCCACAAGATTGTTTGAGCTGAGCCTTGAAGGCTAGGTAGGATTGGCCAAGTTTGAAACTCTGTGTGGTGCTTGCTTCTCCAGGCAGCGCCTTCAAGTTTGTGTATTATTGGGAGGACAGGTATATGCATGAGTTCGGGGTGTGTGCAGTGTGTTTGGGGAGACTGGTGTGTTCTGGATAGTGAGTATTTGAGTGTTTAAGATGCATGTGTGTGGTGGGAAGGAGTTGAGAGTTCATACTGTTGCAGAAGAGCTTCAGAAAAGAGGGTCTTGTTATTCTGAGGATTCTGGTAACAGCGAGCTGTGGATGGCTTCAAAAGCAAGAAGCTTAGGAGGCTATTATAGTAGTTCTGACCTGGACTGAGAAAGGGTTGGTGGCAGTGGCAATGGGAAGAAAACTGATTGGACTGAAATTACCAGGAAGATGATGCATGGTGGTTAAAACTTGTGGCTGTGAACCACAAGGTTGGCAGTTGAAACTGACCACCTGCTTCCATAACAATTTACAGCCTTGGACACCCTACGGGGCACTTCTGCTCTGTCCTCTAGGGGTGCTGTTAGAATTGACTCCATGGCAGTGTTGGTTTGGGCTTTGCTTCCATGAAGATGACAACCTTGGAAACCCTGGGGTGGCAGTTCTGTTTTGTCCTATAGGCTCACTGTGAGTCAGAATCAACTCCATTGTAGGGGGTGGTGGGGGTGGTCAGGGGTGGTGGGGTGGTGGTTGCACACCCTGTAAATTCACTGAGAGTCATTAATTGTATATTTAAAACAAGTGTATACCTCAATATGTTAAGAAAAATAAGGTGGATTGATGGCTGGATGGATTGATACATGATAAAAAGTATTATAAAATGTTAATTCAAAAAAAGGAAAAGAACTCACCTGGAAGAATTTGTGGAGAAGGGGCAGATTTAATGGCTCTGGCTTTCTGTGCTGGTCTCGAGATTATTTATGGTACTACTAATGGGAGCTGGAGAAGTCAGGGTCCCAATTTGTTGTGAGAGGTAGCCTAAGAGGTTTGATGGAGGGTGTGATAAGCTATTGGAGCCCTGAAATGCACCATATCTTTAATCTTCAGGATCTTGCTTAATCCACTTGTTTTTCCTGCTGACTGTTATGAGGAAGACAGTAATGTAGGGAGATGCTGATGAGGAAAAAAGGAAATAGTTGTGTGGGGTTTTTAGTTTAATAGTTAAGTGACTGGTACTTACAGTTTTTATTTGTGTAAGTATGCTAATTTATATTCACCTTGTAATATTTTAACAGAATTTGAAAATCCAGCATCCTTTTGAAATATCTTTTTGATTTTAACTGCCATCTAGTTTCCCTTAAGCTGTTTGCTGAGTATTTACAAATCAATGTACTGCTGCAACTATTTTTGAGTTATCTTCAGCAAAATTTTACTTGCATGTAATACTAACCATATTGTTTGATAATTCCCGCATCCCATTGGATCACTTTTCTTTGGAATGAGTATGTATATGGATTGGGACGTATATAATGAAAAGCAATAATGAATTTAATATTAAAAAATGGTTAATATATTTGGAGACATTATTCGGACTCTAGGTAGAACATGGTGCACAAATGGTTTCATGAACTCTGGTCCACAGGATGGCAGCTACTGGTATTTAGTTTGAACCAAGGAGTGAGAGGAACTATTGTGTCTGTTTCCCCTGATAGACGGTCCAGAGTATTATGCAGATTTTATTGTTATCTTATTGTACCAGTTAGTTGAGTTAGTTTTTGAATCAGTTAGTGTGGTTCATTGGATAGAAAATTTGGAAGCCTGTTTTGCTTGCAAAATTAGACTTCCAAGTTAAATTTATTTAGGTATATGAATGCAGGTTAGCTTAAAAAGATATTTGGTAACAATTTCACTGTATTGTGTCTATTATTAACTCTTTGAGCCCCTTGCTATTGAAAATAATTTTATGTCCCTTGTGGGATGTTTTGACATCTGGGGGAAAAATTGCACTCAGTGTTGATTTAATCTCAGTAATGCAAATGTTCTCTTTTTCCTCCATTCCATTTACTGATTACCACAGATCCAGTGGTTCTCTTAGATAATCCTCTCCAGTGAATTTTACCACTCAATTCCTGCAAAGCCTCAGTTCTCCATAGAGTGGGTCCTGGACGTCATTATCTGACATAAATTATCTGACATAAAACTCTTGAGCTTGGTTTTGGTATTGCTTAGTAACCTGGATTTTCATCAGGAGGCGCTAAAGTGGACTGGTGGGCTAATGAGGCAGGTGTTTGTCCATTATTTTACCAGGCCTACATGACAGTGGTGGTTCTTTTTCTTCTTTTCTGCCCAGACTTGGACACTTAGGTATGTCATGCTGGTGTATTAATTCCATGAAGATTTGTGATCCTTAAAACTAACAAAGTAACACCATAAAATAGATAGAAGTTCCTTGAATATTCTGCATCCTCAAAACCTAGTTCAATCAGGAGGTCAAAAAACAAACCTGTATGTCACCTGTACCTGGGGAAAGTAAACTGACATAACTGTGCTAAAATAACTACTAGCTAGTTCCAATATAATTTTGAACATTCACTATTTTGAATATTTAAAATATATTCATGTATTCAAAATTCAATTCCAATTCAAAATATTCACTATCTTAAAGGTCTCTAGGATTCAAGAGTGGACTTAACACTATAATGAACACTTTATTATCTAATGACAACTAATTCATAAATGAAGCAATTTACATAGCACATTTAATGATTATTTTTAATAGGTTCAAATTAGGCATAGAAGCTGGCTGCCACTAAGGCCAGTTTCTCCATTTTTAAAATCCCTTCTCAACTCATGAATACCATCCTGCAGTCTCTCTTTAACCAGCACAGACAGAGACCCTGGGCAGAGGGGAGGAGCGTCTTCCTCTTTCTCAGGAAGTCATCCCTGAACCTGGAAAGTCAATCTTTCACTTTACAAATATGAACATCTCTGCTTGCCAAGTCTTCACCCCACTTACAGTGTGGACTCTATTAGTGGACAAAATTCACGTAAGAAAGGCTACTTTAAAGCTAATAAAAATCACACTTACTAAGATTTTAGTTTCCACGCTGTAACCTCCACCCTGCCCATGGTTAGGACATAAGTATGGTTTAGAAATCAGACCAAAGACAAGACTCAGTCTTCTTGCTGGCTCAGACTCTGACCTCCTCAGGAGATCCTGCAAAACGGGGTAAGTGGTTCTGTCTGACTGTGAATAGCTATTCCTGTAAAGGAGACCAAAACTGAATTTTACTTAAGCCTGCACTTTACCCAAAAATACTTGTTGTTGTTGTTGTTGTTATGTGCCTTCGAGTCAACCCCGACTCATAGCGACCCCTCCTTGGGTTTCCGAGGCAGTATCACTACGGAAGTAGGATTGCCTAACCTTCCAAACAGGCTTTATTTTACTCAAATATCCATCTTAATCCTGCTCATGTCTTTCAATAATGGATTCTAATATTTAGAATTTTAATGTAACACAGCAATAAAATGAGTTAACTGATTTGGGCTGGTTGGTCAAATTAGACATAGCAACGACTTTTTTCCATAAAACCTTAAATGAGTGTGTATGCACTAATATTGTTAATCTAACTTGGAAGTACTAAATTAATTCTTACCTGAACTACTGAAGGAGGGAAAGGAGTATAAATAACCCAAGTAGAGAAAGCAAAAAAGATTGCTCTTATTTAACTTTGAAACCTTTTTCTCCTTCAGCAAATGTTTTGTTTTTTCCCTAACCTGGGTAATCTAAATTTATCTTGCTTAAGTTTTTCAATTTAGTTTGGACTCGCTGATAATCCACAATGTGAGAACAGTTTAAAGTGCGTCTGAAAGGCAGGGAACTAAAAAATCCCTTCACTTAAAGTGAACAACCAAGATTTAATGGCAGTTTTTTTATTCATCTAGCAGCTTCTTCCTTTAATCTCTTAGGCATGAAATATAAATTAATTACTTGCTCGAGCTATTGGAAGTTTAAATGACCAAGTAGAAACCTAGGACAATAACAAAATGCCGTAACGAACCTATACCCAAGGCCAATATAAGTAATTTCAATATTTAATTTAAAAGATTCACAGTCAAAAATCCATACTTGCTTTGATAAGCTTTACTTTGATTTGTGTGTAGGCTCAACTAAATAGCTTATTATCTTACATGATTTGTGATTGAACTAGGTTTTGAGGATGCAGAATATTCAAGGAACTTCTATCTATTTTATGGTGTTACTTTGTTAGTTTTAAGGATCACACCTCAGCATCTTTTTACCTGTGCAAATTAGGAGTAGTGGATAATTAGCACTTTGAAGCTGCTTTTGGTAGAATGATAGAATTGACTTTGATCTTCTGAAATTTTTCATGAATCAATGCATTCTGATACTGTGCGTGGATAGCATAATGATCTGTATTGTTCATAATTTGAGAATGCTTACGTGTATAAGTTGTTATCTGTCCTTGTGTTATTTCCCTTCCCTTTAAGAGTCTTATTTATTGTTTGCTTTTCTAAGTTGATGATGTCCTGGCTGAAATTAAACATTTCTATTGGTGGCTTACCTATTTTAACAAATCCTTTCCCTCTGAAAACTTTTAGCACAGATCTCCCATTATCTCTTGCTTACTACCTCCCTTGCACTGCAAAGTACAATTTCATTACATCTTGAGATCTAAGATTTTTCTTTGGAAACCCATCTCCAATGTCTCTCTGGAATTCAAAAAAGAAAATGAGGATAATTCAGTCTGAAATTTCATATGGCTTTTCTGAGAAATGTGTTTTGTGAGTTAAAGGGTACTTACGTTTTGTTGGTGTATTTTCAGAGGTAGACTCCTGTAGCAGTTGTTTTAATAACTATGTCCTAATTATTTATAGCTTCCTGCCTGACATAACTCGCTTCAGGAAGTGCACAATGTCAGAACGTGGAATTAAGTGGGCTTGTGAATACTGTACGTATGAAAACTGGCCATCTGCAATCAAGTGTACTATGTGTCGTGCTCAGAGACCTAGTGGGACAATTATTACAGAAGATCCATTCAAAAGTGGTTCCAGTGATGTCGGTAGAGACTGGGATCCTTCTAGCACAGAAGGAGGAAGTAGTCCTTTGATATGTCCAGACTCTAGTGCAAGACCGAGGGTTAAGTCCTCATATGGCACGGAAAATGCAAACAAATGGTCATGCCACATGTGCACATATTTGAACTGGCCAAGAGCAATCAGATGTACCCAGTGCTTGTCCCAGCGTAGGACCAGGAGTCCCACAGAATCACCTCAATCCTCAGGATCTGGCTCAAGACCAGTGGCTTTTTCTGTTGATCCTTGCGAGGAATACAATGATAGAAATAAGCTGAACGCAAGGACCCAACACTGGACTTGTTCTGTTTGCACTTACGAAAACTGGGCCAAGGCTAAAAAATGTGTTGTTTGTGATCACCCCAGACCTAATAACATTGAAGCAATAGAGCTGGCAGAGACTGAAGAGGCTTCTTCCATAATAAACGAACAAGACCGGGCACGATGGAGAGGAAGCTGCAGTAGTGGTAACAGTCAGAGAAGATCGCCCCCTGCTATGAAACGGGACTCTGACGTGAAAATGGATTTTCAGAGAATTGAATTGGCTGGTGCTGTTGGCAGCAAGGAGGAACTTGAAGTGGATTTCAAAAAGCTAAAGCAAATTAAAAACAGGATGAAAAAGACTGATTGGCTATTCCTCAATGCCTGTGTTGGTAAGTTTCTGATTTCTGCATTTTTTGAATGGGGTGGGAAAAGTTACTAAAAATGACATGAAAGATGTAAGCAGGATCAGTATTATTTAGCAATCACATTATTTTCTAGGCTTTCTCTTGCTTGTTAAAGTTCATTCCTCATGACATCTGTGCTTCCCAGTATCCATGCGTAAGAACCTGTCTGTGGTCTTGTAGCTTTGTCATGAATTGCCTACACTTAATTATATGTATGTCTCTGCATCATTCAGGGACAAATTTTATGTTAAAGCTTTTTACACCTCAGTAGTAGAACATGTACCTGGAGTTTAAAAAGGCTATTCTATTTATTGTAACAAGATGTGACTGAGGAACACCACCTGCTGTTCCAGAGTGTTTGTAAACAGTGTGAGCATCTTGTGATGACAGCAGCTTTAGTCAGATGTTAAAAATATCACAAAAATGTATGGCTCCAAGAAGTTAACAAAAATAATAGTGACCTTGAATTTACTGATGTTAATTTAACATGAGCATCACCTGGTAAATATTTACAGACTTTATGAAAGTGCTTTCATGTAGTCAGCTGATTCCGCAGTTCAAATGATGGTTTGTGTGTTTCGTGTTTATAGCCTTTTCCTAAGGAAAATTCTGGCTCTTGGCCTCAGCTTCTAACTAAGAACTATTAAAGACAGAGACGTGTGGGAGCTGAGTGTTCTCGATATTGTGCCTGTGGGTTAATGATTTGTGATGTGATCACAGAAGCAGGTTTTCAGTTTTTTCTTTTTTTGGGGTGTATATTTGATATTTGGGTTTTATGATTTAAATTATTTGGGTGGGGGTTTACTTTCAATTTTGAGTGATTACTCAATTTTGAGTACTTTTTTTTTTTTTTTTTTAATGACAAAGTTAAACTTCGTGCGTTTTTTCTTTTTTCCCCTAGTACTAATTTCTTTTGTTTGTTTTCCTGGATATGGAAAATAAGGAAATACATATACTCCACAGTATAGAGCACACACTCCATAGTGTGTGAACTTGAAAGTCCTGTGAGTGGATGTCAAGAAATGAGTCTTTTGTCATTTTAGTTTTGTCCTGGGAAAGAGAGTGTCCTGATCCCGGCACAGGAGGCTCTTGGTAACTAATTGTTAGCAGCAAGTTTCTCCTACCTTGAGATAGGGTAATCGCCTACCTGTGTTGTCCCATCTCATCCCGTGACCCCCCATCATCTCATTACCCCCCCACCCCCCAGCCTCATGGTGTGATTGTTCTTTTCTCTTTTTAAATAGCAGATACAAAAGGGTTTTGTTCATTCATTTTTTTTTTATTGAGGTGAAAAATATTTCATAGAAATGAATCATACATTATGTGACCTCTTACATCTTGATGTAATTATTTTAATTAGTTGTATGCTTTTTGGAGCACTCTTAAAATCATTTTCTCAGATGATAGTATACTGTGTGTACTTTCAGTACAAGGTGGTGTTATAATGCACAGTTTAATAGATAGAAGTGAACTAGATTTCATTGCACTAATTCTTGATCTCTCTTGGGGGTTATAGAATCCTTTAGGAATCAGGGGTTCATTTTTCCCCCAAGTCACTGAATCCGGGATAAGAACTGCTTTTGAAATACTGAGTCTCCTGAGACACACCAGTCGGACCAGTTAACACCAGTTTGCTCTTGTCTCTGCTGCCATCCTTTCCGCTCTTTGTGGTGCTGCCTCCTTTCTTCCATACACCTTTGCTTTCTGTGAATGGCCGCACTTGTATATCTCCTCGTTCTAATAGCCGTCAGTTCGTTTTAAGCAAAAACTCCAACCAACAAGACCAATATTGGCTTTAGTCTTGTTTCACTTACCAAATCATTTCTTTGTTACTAAATCTCTTCCTACCCTAAAATTTCTAGGTTCTTAGGACCAATAATTAATTGTTTGGTTCTTGTTAATGTGAATTCTGAGTTTGCTGTTGGCAAATACTCTTGCTTTTCACTGCACAATATGGTTCTGAATTGATGAAGAAAAGATTGTGGCTCTTTTTATTGGTAGTCAAAATCCTCAGTAAACATCAGTGAAATACGTTAAAAATGTTTTTTTAAAAAAACTTGTTTACTTTGTGTTGGGCTTCAGTAAAAAAACAAACAAACAAAACCACAGCTTGAGCAGTGAGACTAACAGAAGTCTGCATGTACTGAAAATTCACCTTTACTTGCCTGTTTCTTCTTGCCCTGTAGTCTCTAGATTTCATTAACTGCAGTATATTGTGACTTTCCGGTGTTACGCATTCAAAGAAATCCTCTCCAAAGTTTGTACCCTAAGTGTGAAATGTACACTGAGTACAAAATGTGAGACTTTCCCATTTGAAATTGGAAAAAAATGCCTCAAACTCAGGTCAGCTTGGTGGCTGGTAAAATAGGAATAAAGTTTTAGTTGTTGAGAAAGGCAAAAATAAAGCAAAGCAACAGTATTGAGCAAGTGGCTTTTAAATGACTGCTGGTGTAAATTTCACATGTTGTATTACCTTATGTGGTGAGAAGACATTGTGAAATTTTCCTTTGGTGAAGGCAGTGCCAAAACCTGACATCAGTAGAAGTGGAATCTGGGGATGGGAGTGGGGATAGTGAAGGCAGAAAGTGTGAATTTAAACTTGTTGTCTCTGGAATGGCTGCATTGTGGTGCCAGGGCTTCTCAGGGAGGTCAGTCATTGCTCACCTGGACTGCTTTTCTCAGTGGGGAGATGGTAGCGTGCCTAGAGAACAGGGCAGCACTGCCCAAAACACTGGTTTTTGCACTACTCATGTATTGAATCTGTTGCCCCTTAAAAAAAGTATTTCGATTTGTAACCCTAGTTGATTCCTTGAAAAGACACAGGGTTAGATAGGTTTTTATTTAACAAGTTAAATCTACCCAAAGACTCATATGTCCAGCTGCCTACTTAACATCACCCTTTTAATACATAATAGGCATTTCAGTTTCAAAGTAAAAAGCTCAACCGGTCATTTCCTCGAGTTTGTCGTCCTAATGGTCTCCCATCGATCAGTTATCATTCCATCTACTTGTGCCAAAAGCCTCAGTTGATTCTCTTTTTCTCCTAACCCCTTCCTTTCCTTTTGTTGGCTGTACCATCAAAATAGATCCAGAGCCTGACCGTTTCTCACCACACTGGTCGAAGCCACATTCCCCTCTGCCCTCCATTACAGACTGTTCTCAACAGAGGAGTTAGAGCAACTTGTCTAGAACTCTGCTCAGAGCCCTCCAGTGGCTTCTTCCTTCACCCAGAGACTCTGTAGGGCCTTGTGTAGCAGCCCCCCATCAGCCCTCTGTCCTATTGCTCTGTCTCATTCATTCCACTTCAGCCACATGGCTGCCTGGCTTTTCTTTCTGCAAGCTAGCCAGGTTTCCTGTCTCAAACCTTTTTACTTGCTGTTTCCTCTGCAGGCTTAGCTAGCTCATTTACCTCCCCCAGTCCTTCCCTCACATGGTGCCTTCTGGGTGAGTCCCTCCTTGAGCACTTCCTAAATTGTTCTTGCCCCAGCACTCTTCTGCCCTCCCTGCTCTATTTTCCTTCTTAGCACTGGTTACCTGCTAACACACTTACCTTGTTTCTTTCTTCACTAGAATCTAGGAGCTTCATGAAGGCCAGCAGTTCTGTTTTGTTCACTGCTGTATCTTAGGACCTAGAACAGCGCCTTGTGCATAGCAGATACTCGCATAGTTGTTACCTCAGTGAATGACTCCTTTTAGATACTGGGATCTGGAGAACTGGACCTTCAATGCGCTTCTCCCCTGAATTTCTAGATCTGTTGCTTTCTGTATTGTCTACCTTACAGACTAGTACTTGGGGCTCTGCCCAGGGGAGCCAGCACTGCCTTTCTTCAACTGTAGGGAAGACGGAGATAGTAGATACGATGAGCTCTACTGGGAAGGGGTGTTGGTAGGTGCCTTCAGAAAGGTCCCCGACTCAGGGCAACCCCATGCATGATAGAAGGAAATGCTGCTCTGGCCTGTGCCATCCTGTCCTCATGGCTGGTTGTAGACCAGACCCTTGGGAAGGGTAGCAAAGCCTGAGTTTATCACCGGGCACCAGGTAGTCTATGGCATAAGAAGTCTGAAGTCACATTTCTTTACCTTGAATTTTTGCATCTTCCTACCTTCACTGAGGGAGCTCTGGTAGCATAGTGGCTAAGGCACTTGACTGCTCACCAGAAGGCTGGCGGTTCAAACCCACCAGCCACTCCTCGGAAGGAAGGTTGGGCATTCCAGCTTCCGTAGTGATAACTGCCTCGGAAACTCAAGGAGGGGTCGCTATGAGTCAGGGCTGACTCGACGGCACATAACAACAACAACAACAACAACCTTCACTGATGGCAGTATTTGATAAAAAGAAAAAAAAAAATCAGTTTCTGTTACACCTAAAATTCTAGCAGATAAAAATTTTGCTTGAGATATTTTGTCATAGAACTGGTTGCTTCTTACTTGGCATTTTGTTTCACTTCTTAAAACACAGCTGTGTCTTTCTCACACTTAGCTTGTCTACTGCCTCTGCTAATGAAGGTGGAAGGAGCTGATATTTGGACTTAAAGGTGTAGGAGAATCAAGCTTATGTAACAAGTCCACGCCAGAACTAGTTTTTATGCTGAAATGATGTTCACTTGCTCTGGGGCAGTGTTGTCATGAACTTCTTTCATCCATAGAGAGTGTGTTCATCAGTCAACAGTGCCTGTTTTGGGGTGGCCTGCAGTGTGCACTGGTGCCCTGTGTTGGGAGTCACTGACTTCTAGGCTGAGCCACAATGTCTTTATCAAGTAGTGTGATGAAGATGAAATTACGAAGATGGCTGCCTCGAGAATTCTTGAGCTAAATGGGTCACACTTTCAGATTTTGACTGATTCATAACTTAGATAATTTTTAAAGGTAGAAAATATATGGAAGTTTTTGTTTCAAGTTTTCTACAGAAACACTAAATTATATTTGATCTATTATTTCATCTTGTCTCATAATGTAATTGTGTTGAAGATTAATGTTTTAGGCAG